TTTAGATTCACATTTTTGACAAGACAATACTTTATATTTTGGCTTCGTTGTTACTCAAAACGCTATATAATAATGCCGCATTGTTGCACTATCTAGAGCATAGATTGGGGTACTTGTTAACGCTGGTTTTACCCATCAATTTCCTAATCCTAACGAGAGTTGGCTCAACCGAATGTGGATAGAGCCAAAGAAAGTTGGTTGAAATGACTGTTAAGTTATGTGCTAAACATCATCTTTTTAACCCGAAATCTCCATTTGCAAATGAGTGAAAAACTATTTTGATGGTGTTGATTCCACTATTAGCTTCCTATCATTAATGTATCATATCCACTCCCGCAAATAGTTTAACCAAACAATTTAATTATTGCATGCCAGCAAATTTACGGATAGAGTGATAATTTAATGTCTTAGGGGTCGTTTGGGTTTGCTAAAAATGAAATACAATGTAAAATATTTGCAGAGTACGTTATTATAATGTATTTGAAATATTTTATGGTTGTTTGGTTCACTGTAAATAAATTGCGGAACTTTATGTTTTTCTTTTGTTTCGTTTGAATTATATTGAAAATAGTGTTAGAATTTATTTGGGAGGCAGGCAGTAGGGCAACCCGGGGGGGGAGGGGCGCTGGCAACAGCCGACGGCGAGCGGTGTGGGTGGTGATGGGCGAAAATTTGTCGATAGTACTTTACAAAGTAATTCAAATTTGGTCAAATCTGTCTGATTCTAAATTCAGTGAAAATGAACTAATGAGTGAACTTTAAATTAATTGAATATATTATATTTGCACTTTTTCATACAAAATACATAATTTCCTCAAATTCCTGTAAATGAATTATACCACACCACAAATATTTCCAACCTAACAACTCCTTAGTGTTGCACGGAAATCCAACAAACACATATAAAAGAAAAATAGCGGGATGAGGCTAAGATTTTGTATGAAAAAAATCTAGAAAGAGAAAAATGAGGTCTGACACAATCAAAGTAATCAAATCTATGTTTGTAAGTATAGAGATACGCCCTTCTCTCATGAAATAGAACGAGATTACAATTGCACATTGAAAACTAAATTGTCTTTCTATAGCTCAAAATATACAAGTGTCACAAAATTAAAGAACAACTGAAATCTATCTATAACCGTTATAAGCAGTGTTTGCCGACAGCCGACAATCGACAGTGGACGATGACTAGAGGTTATGGAGGTCACTCATCGAGTCTTCTCTCCATAGCAGACGCTCGAATCTCACTAATATTTCTCTTCTTCTCCCCTCATATCTACTCTCGTAAATAGTTTTGACAGATATTATAATTATTGCATGCCACAAAATTCGCACGTAGAGTGATAATTTAATGTTGTATTGTTGCATTAAAATCCAGCACACACATAGATAAATGAAAATAGCGGATGTGAAACTAAGATTTTTACGTAGAAAAATTCTAGAAAGAGAAAAAACAACGAAGTCTAACCCAGTTGATGTGATCAACTCTATGTTTGTAAGTGTATAGTTACGCCCTTCTTTTCATGATAGAGAACAAGGTCACAATTGCACAATGAAAACTACACTTGTCTTTCTATAGCACAAAAAATATAAGTGTCAAAAAATTCAAAAATATCCGAAGTCTAGCTACAACGTTTATAAGCAATCATCGCCGACAACTGGTAATCGACAAGTGGTGATGGCAAGTGGTGGCCTGCGTCTATGGAGGTCGCTGTGGACGGTGCTGGAGATTATGGAGGTCACTCACCGAGTTTTCTCTCCAAAATAGGCCCTGAAATTTCACTCATCTTTCTCTTCTCCCCTCCCCCCAAGTGAAAATCGTGGTCTATTTATAGTTTATTGAGAATGGGCATTTTAGTCTTTTAATAAATAACTTTCCTAACCACCTAATCGAATGGTCCAAGCTGACCTCCCTTGATCATAGATGGTTTTTAAGTATTTGTGTGTCTTAATGACCTTGAAATTGAGTGATCTTAGACTCAATGAATTCCTCTCGTTGAGACGCTTGATTTGATTATAAAGAACATAAAATTCAATTCTATATAGATTCATATTTTTGCATGGGCTATAGATAATGGAGAAAATATATGCATATAATAGCTATCATAGGAATAAAATTTATAGAATAGCAAAAGTAGCCTACCAACAAAAAAGTTCGGTTGGTGATATTGACACTGACTAAAGAGAGTTTACAATTGTTTACATTTATAAAAAGATTTCTAGGTTAAATAAGCACTTTGTCTCTTTTTTTATGACTTTTTATCTAAAATAGTATGCTTCATCTTAGTTAGTCGGTTATGGAGGCAACTACCAAGGTCCTCACCTATCATCAAGTTTTGTATCTCAAGTGGCAGATAAGATTAGAGAGAATAATCTTAAATGATTTGGTCACATTAAACGTCAACTATCTGATGATCCAGTTAAGAGAGTAGATGTTTTAGATTTGACTTTAGCTGAGAAAAGTAGAGATAAACCTAAAAAGACTAGGACATGTATGAGAAAATGATTTTAATTTATTAGAATTAAATGAAAATATGACACTCAATATGACTCAAAGAAGAAAAATGATTCATTTAACCGACTCCAATTAATGGGATAAAAGCTTATTGTTACTGTTGTTGTTGTTGTTGTTGTTATTGTTGTAACTAGATCGTTGTTGTTATTGTTGTTGTTGTTGTTGTAACTAGATTGGGTTTTCATCTTAAACTCATCTTTTTTTTAGATGAGACTCCATATTTTTTTAACAAGAAAATTCTGATTATATTTTCCTTCTAAAGAATAAAAATAAACGATAAACTTTGAACTAGCTTTATGTAAACAACCCATCGGAAATAACGCCCAAACAGTAGCAATGGTGACTAATAAGCAAAAACAACTACTAAAATCGACTATTTATAGCAAAACCTTTAATTATACATCAAACTACTAGTCCAGAAAAGAAATTCACACCTCAGTTGCATAATATTCCAAATGCGTGTTCTTATCCGTAAATAACAGCACATTAATCCAACAACCTGCACTTTTGAAAAAAAAAAATATTAATAATAACATCAGAATTCAAGCCTGCAATCTAAATGAACTCACCTGCTTGAAATGATTCATTAATTTGATAAAGTTTTACCAGACAAGTCTGCGCTAGCTATTCTATCTCCATGGATTCAGTCCATCCAAGACCTGGTCTCCTTTTCTCCCCCTGAGGCTCTTCAAAATCCCGAGCATCAAGAAGAGAAGCTTCAAAATCAGTCGAGTCTGCTGCAACTGGAAGGAAGCTTCCAATATCATCTCGGGCTCCGAATCCTCCTGCACGAGCAACATCATCAGCACTTATGGTGGCTTCCATGTTCACATCCCCGCAGGCATCCTTAGCTTTACAGTTTGAACATGCTTCATTGACCTCAGTTTTAGAGGAGCTATCATATTTGCGGAGATTATCAGGCATGGGATTTTCTACAGCAGTTTCAGGGTTTTTCTTCTGTTCCTTATTTGTTGTTGCCTTTTGATTCATATTCTCCATAGAAGTTCTTAGTCTGTTATTGGAAAAGCAGACGACAAGATTCTCAAATGCATAAGAATATATAAGGAAATTTACATACGAAGCACACAATTCTTATGTCTTTACATCTCACAACTAAACTTTCAAATTTACATACATAACAATTTGGTGCTTTAAATTTATGCATGAAAATACGTATTTCTCATTGAAAAAGTAGTAATTGCACTAATTCTGATGCAATATTAAAGATTTCAGTGCTGTCTGTGAACAAAAAAGTTTAGGTGTGAGATATGTAAATACATTAGAATTGAATTGTGTGCCATGTATGTAAATGCTCCAAAAATATATCGAAAAAGTGATCAGGCAGCGTAAATGTTCAAAATAAAATTTCGTCGATTTTCAGTGCAGCAGTGTGGTTTGAAAATGTAAATTTAACAGAAAAAAGCCTGCTCCAAGGTGCCAATCAGTATGATGAACAATTTGATGTAATGCGAATAATATATACACAGTTTAGTTAACTCACAAAGAAGATGCACAAAAGAAAACCTACTAAGAAGCAATTCAGTAGAGCAGGAGAAAGATAGATGGAAAGCCTCTTAATTGAAAAAACGGAAAATGTCGTCTCTACGATAGAGCAGGGGGAAGGGGGAAGAAATGTGGTCTAAGGGGGTAGAGATATAAAAGGGAAGTTTTCTAGTGTATCTAGAATTCAAGTTAAAGTTTAACAAAATATTGGTGTACATATAATTTATGTTTTTATATGATTCATTGCAAATCTATTTTCATTCATTGCAAATATTTATTCCAAATCAATTTGCTTTTTTCCTCATAATTTTAGCATTTTAAAATTAAAATAATAATAAATTCATGAAAAACATCAGGCATACTTGGTTTTCATATCTACACATTTTCTGTAATGTTAATTGGATATCATCAATATAATTCCACATTTGGATGCTACTTTGTACAGTTTGATCTCAAATCAAAAGAGATTATTGGTCACATTGAAGTTAAATATGATGTAAAGCTACAGGAAAGTTTGAGATGCAAGGGAGAAGACAATCAAGTTAAGATTCAATAGATAGAGGGAGTTACTTAATTCTTCATATAAGTTAGCATAAGCTATATGTTGGTACATGAGATTTAATTTATTCAATTTAGTTATGGGCGCAAATAACTTGGATGTGATTTCTAGGTAGAATAAATGGTGCAGCGGAAAATTGGTTCCTATGGCTAACCAAAACTAAGAACATATTATCTTGGACAAATTTCTCATTGCAGTTGAAACACTTCCTAGCCCGTCAAAATACAAAGACTTATGGGGTGAATTGGCCAAATTCTTACAGGCAACAATCGTTGAATTACAACTACAATTCAAGATACTTTCCAATCAAATTATCAGCATTGACAAATTATTCCTGCCAAGTCCAAATCTAGCTTGAAAATGAACACCTGGAAAACACAAAAGTCCTGTGAAAGCTAAACAAACTCCCTCCATTTCTCTACAACAAACCGAGATAAGCAACAAAATTGCTGAAATTTACTTGTACACATGCAAGACAGACACTTCTTTGTTTTACCGTTATTAGGTGCAAACATAGCTCTGATATCCAATGACTACAACCACTCGTTAATATTATTACAGATTACACCTCCCTGCCATGTCTTTTAATGTATAAAGACAAAAAAAACCTTCTAGCCAACTTGTGAAAATTTCTTCCCAAAGATCTATAGCTTCCTATTTCAAGCTCGCCCCCATAACAACCAAATAAACTTTACTTCTTGAATCTACGCCTCTCTATTATGGCATATTACACGCAATCCTTCAGGTACGTGCCTATTTTTTTCATGAACTGATCTCACTGCCAAAAATCTGTTCTATGGACCACCAAATTCAATTGCAGCCCAATAAAGCACCTATAAATATCCACTAATACCACTACCCTTGTTAAAAAAAGACAGCCATCCAAAAATTGGTCCAAGAAATGTCGTTGTTTCCTCACATAACTTGTAAAGCATAGTAGAAGTAAGACCAACTAGTACGAGTTTAGAATAGTACTTAAGATATTATGTTATGGTAACCCAACAACTTCGAAAAAATATTCATATAATATGTCATTGCAGTCTTTCGTCGACATGTCGCCCATCCAAGCTTTTTATGTTCTTCAACCATCACCTACTAAACTGTATATTGGCAGGGCAAGGGCAACCGCTAAAGATGAAGCCCATACACGGTTCCAAAAATATGTTGATGTCTTTCAACTCCTCTGTTTCATCTTACAACAAGTATGAAATAGAATAAATCAACAAGCTGACAAAGACAGTCGTGATATTCAGTTCACTGAAAACGATCTTGTTCTAGTCGAACTTCAACTTTACCATCAGCTAATTTAGGAGAATGCTTCAAGGTATTAGAAAGGATCAACTTTGTTGCCAGTCAATTGGATTTACCTGCTCACAATCAAGTCCATCGAGCCTTTCACATATCCCTCTTAAAGTACAAACATGACCCTAGCTTATAACCTCAGCCTCAACCTATATGGTGAGATACATGGCTAAGCTCCTCAATCCTGAAGCCCAAGCATATTTTGCAGTCACGTTAGCTACTCAAAGGCAATACCACCACCACCACACTAATCAAGCAAGTGGACTAGTTACCATACTTTACTTATGAGGTACAACATAAGATTATGTGAGGCAATTAACCCTCTCTAGAAGCTTCACTCCCTTTCTTACCTGAAGGTATGTATGGACTATTTTCCTATGGCGAGTTAATGGATTGCTATCAGAGTTTTCTCTCTTGCTCTCCTCTTTGCATCTTCTTCTAAGTTTCCCTATTTTTCTCCACTGTCTTCATGGTATTAGAGCCTTGAACTCAAGCCTATTCAAGCTTCTCCTCCATCACTGAATAGTTATGCCAACCAACCCCTCGATCTCCAATTAGGGACCGGACTGCATCTACAAATGAAGTACCATTCAGCACCATCAAAGGAGATGTCTATCTCACAAATCTCAGAAAACTTCAATCAATCAATAATGGAGCTGAATATCCCAATTTCTATCCCACCCTTTGTCAAATTTCTAATGAGTAATCTCAAACACCTTACCCAAAACTCTCTCTCGAATGAAAATTAACAAATATGGAAGGCTTAATTTCTGAAGGTGTTCACTGCAAATGGGTAGCTAGGGCTTTTGGATGGAAGCTTCCCTTGCCCACCGCAATTTATCGAAACCTCGGCTGACCTACAGTTTTGCAATCCACAATATACCTCTTGGAATTTAGTAGATCAGAACCTTACAACAACACTTTACTCTATCATCTCTACACTGATCCTTCCCTATGTGTTGTATCGTTCAACTACCGTTGAGATTTGGTATGTCATTGCTAAACGATTGCAACCAACAAGTCGTTCAAGACTCATCTAATTGAAGAATGCTCTTCACACTCTCTCAATGAACAGTCAAACAATGACACAATACCTATCAAGTGTCAAATCCCTAGTAGATAACATCATCGCTGCAGGAAAAAATTGGATACAGAAGTTATAATTCTCTATACACACAATGCCTCCATACATGTCCTGGACGTGTTGGCGCAGTCCATTTTGTCGTCGGAGGTCTTCCGAAGAAGTTCGCATTTTCACCCGTCATTTAGGCTCAATTTAAGTCCGATTTTGTGCAATTTAGTGAATTTTGTGCATTTTGTGTGCGTATGCGATGACAAAGTCATGAAGTGATTTTCCTAGGGCTCGAAATCCTATTGGGAACTTCTCTCTGAGTCTCCACACAATAGCCCTTAACCGTTCGTCCATCAGACGATGATTTTGAGACTATAAATGCTAGACATCACAGGAAAATAGGAAATGGTTGGAAGTTCTAAAAAGGGTGGGTCCCAATTCTAGTTTTCTAAGATGGTCAATAGTAACTCCTAGAGCTAGACCTTAGAATCTTAAGAAAAAGAGTAATGACCTCAAAATGAGGTCAACAATATCCAACAGTCATCCTAGCTTAGATAGGAATAAATACATCTATATGTAATAGTTGTAGTTGCAACAAAAGTCATAGCCAACCATTTTTATTTCCTTCTTTGCATACACATCTTTTATATTTACTACAATTCGATGTATGGGGTCCAACCCAAAAGTAACTTCTCAAAGCTATAAATATTAATTAATTCTTATTGATGATCTCATGCTTTTGTTGGGTGTTTCCTATGCGAAGCAAAGCTGAAACAGCTGATAAAGGTATTAATTTCATTAAAATGTTTCACACTCAATTTAATATGCTTATTTGTATAATTCGATCTGGTGGGCACAGGGGGGTATACAAATCATAAACTTCACAACTTTCTCACGCATCACGACATTCTCCACCAATTCTCATGTCCCCACACTCCTGAACAAAATAGGGTAGCATAACGAAAACATAGGCACCTCATTGAAACCATGCAAACTCTCCTTCAAGATGCCTCACTCCCTCTCAAACTCTGGGTTGACACAATTCGTGCGGCATCCTATCTTATAAATAGAACAACCTCTAAAAACACCCACTTTAAGAGTGTGTTTGTTTCAGTTTCAGCCCGCTTTTGGAACCAATTTCTCGAACAGGCTGCTTGATTCGCGCTTCGCAAGCACCACATTACAAACCTGCGGCCCGAGGTTCTTCTCCCTTGCGAAAGTGATCGACAGGCAGTTTCCTGCAGTGAAGTCCCGTGTCCCGCGTTGAATTCCCTGTTTTACCCTCATGGGCGTGAGCGTTGGCGTGAAAATCATGTTATACTTACTATAAAACAACAAGATTTTTTCTTGGCATCAAAATCATGTTTTACATATGTAGTTTTTATATAAAGTAGCTTTTGAATTACACTAATATATAAAATAGCTTTTGAATATATATATATATATATAT